GCATCCGTGCTGCATCATACAGTCCAAACTGGTAGCTTTTGTTTAACACGTCAAATTAAACTGATAGGCCAGAAAAATAAAAGGTACCTTCATATTCCCATTCTTTGCCAGTTGTGGTCTCAAACGTAACATCACCATATCCAGAAAATTCATTACCAGGACACTTGTTTATGTCTGACAGGAGGGAAAGATGGAAGTTGGGGTGAATTATTGTTTTAGTACAAATTATAAATTAAGCCAGACGGTGCACTGAAATACGATCAAATGCTTTTACAATATTTTGTAATTACTTTTGGATCAGAGTTTATGCTAAATGACTAATTAAATGTCTCATACCTTCACACAGGTAGCTCTTTTTGAATCCATCACCACGGAGGCAGTAGTAACTTCCCTCTGTATTCACACACTGAGAATGATTATCACACACACGCCGAAAAAACGCACACTCATCCTCATCTGAAAGAGAGACAGACGGATGAGAGGAATCCACATAACATGCATTTTAACTTTGTAATGACTAGAACTACAGTTACACAAACTCCCTCTTTTGACTGACATACAGACTATTAAAAACTGTTAACTTTGCACTATTCATTCAAACCATAAGATTATAATTACCAACGCATTCATTTTTTAAAAGTTTAAATCCAATGGCACATCCACTGCATGATGGTAGAAAGAGACCTGGGAAGAGAGAGAAAAAAATACAGCTATAAATTCCAGTGATAGTTTCTTTTTTTACTATTATTTTTTCATCTTCTACTTAATGCTAAACTTCATTAAATGTGTATGCAATTTGCCGCCAAACCGCATATGATGAGATAAACATTATAAATCAGATTAAGGATATTGTGGGAAAAACGTAGAAAGTTCACACATCTGCTCTCTTGTTTCAATCAATGCTGCTCTTTTGATCCGCACACGCTCCACATGCCTTCACAGAGAATTACGCGTAGATCTTTTATCCAAAGTGACTTACAAATGAGGAATACAACAAGTGATTCATCATAAAGAGGCAAATAAACACAAGAAGTGGTGGTAAAGTTTCAGATATTGTTTAGAATAGTACAAGCTAGAACAGAGCCATATGGACATCAGCTTGACATAATCACCACTGATAAACTACTCCTAAATTTGATGTAGAAGCTTTAATTTTCTGTGAAGCTCGTGAAAAGTGCTATACAAATACATGTGAATTGAATTGAAATTAATTGAACCTAACGTTATTGTGGGATTTTAGG